GCACCCTGTAGGGCCTGAGCGTCTGGGGCTCAGAGGCCACCCGCCAGGCCCGTGCACAGCTCTGGTTTGCATCCCGACCGCTGTGTCTCCCGGAAATGCAGACTGCAGCGGCCACTGGAGCCAGAGCGTCACCCCTCTGCGTCCCCCCCAGGCCACAGCCAGGACACCCACAGAGCCAGCCACGGAAGAACAGAAACGTCGGTTTATTCAGAGACCCCTCTCCACGTGTGCTCCCGTCCACGCTGACTGTGGGATCAATCTGGCTGTCTCCCCACTCAGCGAGCCTCCCTCACAAACTGCTTTTCTACCTTTACATCACTGCGGACGCCTTGGGCACTTCAGACCGGGGAAAGCCTGCACAAATCATTTTGCAAAGCAGAGATAACACTGACATCAAAGGTAATTTTGTTAACGATCGGAGCCTTTCTGGATTTATGGTAACGTGGGTTTTGCCCCTTTGGGGTTAGATTTGCAAATGTGTATTAATTTTCCAATTTTATGGAGCTGACTTTTGTTGGGGTATGGAACATAACGTCCAGGGTTATGAACCAAAGAGGTAATTAATTGTTGGAGAAATGATTTAATACATTGAAAATCTCTCTATTTCCATCTCTTAAAGCAGGACACCAAGAGCAATGAAAGACTGGGGACAGATCACAGGCACGTTCACATGGTGAAGTTGCTGCAGCCGCTCCCGCTGGAGCCTCCGCAGCCTCGGCCGGGAGGTGGGTCAGACTCCTCGCAGATGCCTGCGGCCAGGGCCGATGGCGGTTGTGCGTTTCGCGACGTGTTCCATGAGCAGGCGCCCGTCTGTGAACGTTGCTGCCAACCTGCCAGGGAAGCGGGCGCGGGTGTTTGGCAAAGCGCGTGTCTGCACGGGGACGCGCACTGGCTTGCTTGGGAGGGACACAAAGCTCCCCGAGGAACCTAGTGACATCCGCATGAAGGGAGAGAAGGTCCCATCTCTGGGACGAAACCAATGAAAGGAAACGGTCGGAAGCCAGTGCGCCTCACGCAGGAAGCTCTGCGGACGAACTCGCGCGCCAGGGACGCGCCACAGGCTCCGGGACCCTGGGGCACAGCTGGGCTAGGATGGGGCTCTGCTCCCGCGGTTCAGACGCCGTTACCTATAACCGAAAACCAGGGATGTGGTTTCAGGCAGGCGAATTTCCTAACTGGGGGAAAACGAGACCCCGGGGTCAAATCTCCCGGGCACCACGAGAACAGGAAGTGTTGGGACCACGGTGCCTCACCAAGTAGGTGGAAACACTCTCATCAAAACACCCGAAGCAGAGGGACAGATATGTCCGCTGTCAGCTGTTTCAATCAAGGACGGGAGAGGGGACGGTCTGTCTGCCCTGGAATGCTCAGTCATTAGCTTCACCAGAAGGACCCCCCACTTTTGTTTGCCAACCCATGTGCCCCCTCTTTGCACTAAGCTGGGGGTGCCATGCTAACGCACCCGTACCGGCCACGCATGCTCCCATCAGTGGATGCAGATGGGGTGCCGGACCTCAGCCAGGCAACTCGCCTCTCCCGACCCCAGCAAGCGACCCCTGTGGAGCCCCTGGGCTCAGGGACCCAGGCCCCCGCGAGCAGGCTCCATGGGCTCATCACTGGGTTTGAATGAAGCTGGGTCCTCGAGCGACTCCAGCAGCGGCCAGCGCGGCACAGACCTCCAGCTGGGTGCTTAGCAGAGGAAGTAGGCAGTGCTGGCTTCAAGACGCCCCCTCCACCGCAGTGTCACCGTGCTGGCGCCCCAGGCTTGGGCACGGGTGGCCTGCACAAGCCGGCGGCAGGTGCAACCGGTGACTCCGTAGATGGTCCCTGCCCCCCGTCCAGGCTCAGCCAGACTCGGTGAACCAGACTGAAGAGTAACAGGGCATTTGCCCTTTGTCTAGCTCTAGAATTTCTTCCTCGATCAGTGGGTGCTTCCTGTTTATTATGAAGGTGAAGGAAACAAAGTCGCCTCACATGCGTTGCATCCGTACAGTCGAGAGCTGCAGTGGCCACCATGGCGGTCACGAGCCACGTGTGGCCACCGAGTACTTGAAACGAGGCTGGTCTGAACTGAGAGCGTCTCTAAGTGCAAAACACACTGGGTTTTGAAGACTCAGTACAAAAAAGAAGGAATGTGAAATATCCCCCTACTAATTTAAATATACTGATTTCCGTTAAAATGATGCTATTTTGCATTTGCCGGGATAAGTACATTAAGACTTAAGTCATTAGACTTAAATTCATCTATTTGCTCTTTTCATATAGACACTAGAAAAGCTACAGTTTCACGTGTGGTCGGCGCTGAGCGTGGCACCCGGCTTTAAAGGGACACTCCCTCCTCGCACCCCGTCACAGTGCGTACGTGCTCCCCTACCCTGAGGCGGATCTGAAAATGAGTGTCTGGGAAAGAGGCTGTTTCCCATTTAAGTCGTCCCCAGTGCTGCAGAAGTGAGGGCGCAGGTGGTTAGGTGATGAAGGGCTCTGGGGGCCCACCCGGTGACTGTGGGAGCGCGGCCCCTGGGAGGAGGCAGCCCGAGCTCCCGACCTGTTTCCAGGGGGTGGTGGGCTTGCTAGCGGGCGGCGCCAGCAGCACCCTGGGGCCCCGCATGTGGGGCACATGGGCCGTGCTGGGAGTTCTCCCAATGTCTAGGCTGTCTTAGAATGGGGACTTCTGGGGCGCCTGGGGGGCTCAGTCAGTTGAACCTCCGACTTCGGCTCGGGTCATGATCTCACGGTTTGTGGGTTCGAGCCCCGCGTTGGGCTCTGTGCTGACAGCTCAGAGCCTGGAGCCTGCTTCAGATTCTGTGTCTCCCTCTCTCTCTGTCCCTCCCCTGCTCTCACTCTGTCTCTCTCTCTCAAAAATAAATAAACATTAAAAAAAAATAGAAGAATGGGGAGGTCAAATGACATGCACTCGATACACCAGACTTCTTCATTAGCGGAGCTGAAAAGCCAGCCTAATTTCGCTTTGAAAAACGACTCCACTCCAGCCCAGGAGTGAGACGGGCTGATCTTTTCCAGAACAGTGGATACACAGCTTTTGCGTCTAAAAACACCCATTCAATTTAATGTTTTTGAAACCAAGTAACTGGAAGAACTCAAGATTACTTAAACGGTCTTTTTAAAAAATTGTTTTTCATCCAAGATGAGGCCGAGGGATTTTTTTTCCTTCACTTTTTTCTTAGTATGTCATATATTCGCTGAGTGACGGCTTACAGACCGGCTGCACGTCAGGGACTTTTTAGCCTCTGTGATTTAGAAGCGTGTGACCCAGGTTGACACAATTATCTGAAAGTTGAAATTGAGTTCAGTCACAAATGAACATATTTAATTTGATATTAAAATTTAACTGTATAATTTTTCTAAAATCTTGAAATCAAATACTTTGTTCTGAATAGAAAAGTCGTGCTAAACATGTCTGGTTTTAACCAGAATCAGCAACTCTGTTTCAGATTAGGATAAGTCATTTATAAAGTTAATTTACGCTCCCTTTGAAACGACCCTGGGGGTAAGTCGCGCGCACTGGTCCTGTCCTGCCCTCCTTACCTAAAAGGGACTGGAAACATTTCTAAGACTCCCCTTTTTGAATGTGCAAAACTGATAAAGTAGTGTGTTAGGGAGAAGAAAACACAGTGAAGAAATAAATATGGAAATTAGCAAAAACCAGTATTAAGCATATGTCTTTATGAATAAGGCTTAATCACACACTTCATTTTGCAAATACAAAAGGGCCTTTTGAAATGTATTAATTAAAGTTAAATGCTTCAGACAGGCCGCTTTGTAGGGCCGCGGTCCTCACCTCATTAGCATAGCATTAAGGACAGCCAAGGAAATTGGGTTAATAAAGCTGGGCTGAAATGGGACCGGACAGCCAGGACCGCAGGGTGGCTGCCGGCTGAGCCGGGCGCGGGGACCCCTGTGGCGGCAGAATTCTGCGCTGTGCCCTTGACATCAAAGAGGCAGACCCCCCCCCCCCCCCCCCCCCCCCCCCGCACCTCTCCACAGGTCAGGCCCAGCCCCTGGCACCAGCCTACTCACCCCTGGCCGGGCCTCCTCCCCTGGAAACGAGTGGGGGTTGGTGCAGAGGGGGCTTTGCCCTCACCAGTCACCGGAGCTAGACCGGGCCCTTCCCGGACACTCCAGGCCAAGTGCGGTCATGAGCAGTGAGCACCCTCCTCCACGGGGCCGCCCTCAGCGAGGGCGCCCTGCCGCCTCCATCCGACTCCCCGGGGGCCACAGCGGGGACCATCTGATGAGAGCTACGGTGGCCGGGTGGCTGCGGAGCCCAGGGGCTGTTCGGGCCACAAATTCCGCAGACTTGGAGGCAGCCGGGGTAGGCGACGGCTCGCCTCTGGAGGGGAGCGCCTCTAGGCAGGCAGGGATCCAAACATAACACACTCGGACTCCAGGGAGCCCCAGAGCTGCTGGCCGGTCGTCTTACAACGGCGCCTTTCAAACGACAGTTGCCGGCTGGGTCTGGGTCGGGGCGAACGGGGCCGCTTGGGGTCGTGGAGCCTGAAAGCCCGAGGTCCTCGGACAGGCGCCACGGCCTCGGGAAAACGCCCACAGGAGCAGACGCCTTGGGAGGCCGCGCCCCAGCCGCCCAGCCGGGCTGATCGCTTTCCCTGCGCCGGGCGAGAACCGGGCCGGCGGCGAGCAGGACCGCTCCCGGGTCACACCAGCGCCGCGGCTCCGGCTGGAGCCCTGGTTTTCTGCTCAGGGTGCGGTGGCGGCGCCGGGTCGTCCAGGGCTTGGGGCAGGAGGTCAGGAGATTGCCGGTGGGTGCGCTCCAGCGCGGAGCCCGGGGTCCTCCGCTCGGCGCCTCCATCCGATGCCCAGACGTGCTCTGAGCTCCTCCCGCGCTGCACGGTTCTGCGTGCACAGGTTGGAAGTGACTTGGGGCGCCGTGTCCGGGTGGGCAGGGGCCAGTCCGGGCAGGGTGACGCGATCGCGGGAGAAGGCAGAGCGCAGAGGCGGCGGGAGGAGGGCCGGCCGGGCCCTCACGGCTTCTCATTACAGTGTTTGCAAAGCGCCGAGGGCGTCCCGGAGAAGGCGGTGCACTTGTCGGGGCAGGGCAGCGAGGCGCCCGCGGAGAACGGGTACACGGCGGCTTGGCCGAAGGGCGTCAGGGGCGCGGCGGCCACGGGGCCCGCCAGGCCCTGGCCCTGGTTGAGGTAGGCCACGAGGCGCCGCATCTCCTCCAGGGCCTGCGCCTGCATGAGGATGTAGTTCTTGGCGAGCAGCAGCGTGGCGATCTTGGAGAGCTTGCGCACCGACGGGCTGTGCGCGTAGGGGATGACGGCGCGCAGCCCGTCCAGCGCGTCGTTCAGGTCGTGCATCCGCCGCCGCTCGCGCGCGTTGATGCTCAGCCGCAGCGAGCGCTGCTCCCGGGGCCGCCGCCGCGCGTCCCCCGCGCCCCCGGGGCCCCGCCGCCGCCGCCGCCGCCGCTGCTCGAAGGCCGCGTCGTCGTCGCTCTGCTCGCCGCTGCTCGCGGCCGCGGCCGGGGCGCGGGGCGCGGGCCCCGCGGGGGCGTCGCCGCGCGCCGCCTCGGGCCCCCGCGCCCCGCAGGCCGGGCCCGCCGTGGCCGCCGCGGCGCCGCGGCTCAGCGCCAGGGACGCGTCCCCGGACCGCGGCTGGAGCTCGGCCATGGCGGCGCGGTCGGTCCCGGCCGCCCGGGCCCCGCGGCCCCCGGGCCCCGCCTCCCGGGCGCCGCCGCCGCCGCCGCCGCCGCGCTCCGCCCGCCTCGCCCCCTCCCGCCCTCCGCCCCCCTCCCCGCCGCGAGCAGGGCTGGGCCGCGCCGCCTGAGCTCCCACGCGCTCCGCGCCCGTTTTAAGGTGCGGAGCGCCTGCTGGGACTTCGCGGCCGTCCAATCAGGGGGACTTGGTGCCCGGCTGCGCCTGCCGACGGCCGGCAGGGGCGGGGCCGCTGGACGCAGGGAGCCGGAGGTCTGCGTGGGGACCGGCTGGCGGCGGCTCTACCCGCTTCTCCGCGGGTCTGGCCGGGCCCTTCTGCCACCCGGGGGCTGCGGGGGCTCCCGCCCCGAAACGCCCGCGGCTGAGTCCGTTCCTCTGGCGGGAGCCGGAGCGCACAGCGCAGCCCGGGACGCCTTGCCCCGCTGGCCTGGGCCTCCTCTGGGGTCTTGGGGGTGGGGGCAGGTGCCCTCGGGGAGCCCACGCTCAGCTCACGCACAGCTGCGTTACGAGTTTGCACACCGATCATTCTGGCCGCCCGCCCTGTGGTGCCAGGCGGGGGGGCACCATCTGGCCGTCCCTGGGCCTGCGGTCCCGCACTTTCGCAGGGTAAGTCCGTCCTTTTCCACGATCCCACAAGTCACGGTGATTTAAAGCAGGGATTGGACTTTGGGGACAAAACTTGTTTAGGACACACGTCTTGTTTCGATTCTCTGGTATGTCAGGTGTAAGCGTTTCTCACACTTGTCCAGGGGCAGAGGGGGTCTTCTCATTTCTCCTTGCCAGGGTGCGACCTCCGTGGTGGAGATGGGGAGGGTGGACTGTGTCTCAGCCGAGGCCGTGGTGGCATCCCCCGTGGGCGCCAGACCCGGGTGGTCGCCTGGGGGCCCGGGGTGCTGTGACGTAGGGTTCTCTGTTCTGCAGCCCCCCAGCAGCCTGCAGTGGGGCGGGGGCTGTGCTGGTCACTGGGCTCCGCTTCCTCGGGGAGAGGGGTGGGCGGAGCTGGGAGCCTACCCCCACCCCCCAGGAAAGTTCTGGTGGCTGAGGGGAGGGGTGGGGTCTAATGCCAGAGCTGTCTGAAGGTCTGAGGGGGTGGGAGTAACCATGGAGTTTCTCACGGCTGGAAAAGCCCCCGAGCGGTTCAGACGGGGGAGGGTAAGGAGCTGAGGGCATCAGGTTCCCTCCTCAAACGCCAGGTCCCTGTTTGCAGAATGCGCAGCGGGAGTGGCACGGCGCGTGGCCATGCGCCGCCAGCTAACTTTCCTCCGTGTTTCCTCCGTGGACGGAAAACTACCAAGGTAGTGAGTGCACGCTGGCTTCCGGGGCCTTTCAGGAGTCTCGGGTCCAGCCCAGTGGGTGGAGGTCCCGCCAGCCTGGGCACCCACCTTTTCAGTTCTTCCAGTAGGGGGTGGAGGCCAGGACCCCAGACTTTCTCCCAGCTGGGGGGCGACCAGGGGGCTGGGGTGGGCGCATACAGGCTGCCACAGGAGTGTGGCACGTTGGAGGGCAGCAGCGGGGGCCAGCGTGGGGGGGGCCAGGGGCTCCAGGGCTGGGGAACTGACCACACGGGGGAGTCTGGTCTTGGCTGGAAGAACAACACTCGCTGAATGTGCTCGGGGAGACGCTCTTGACTGGCCACTGGGGGCTGGGGACCCCGAGGCACTTCCTCCTGGGTGTCTCTCCAGGCCCGGCAGAGCTGCGGGCGAGGGGGGGACGGACACGGAGAGGTGGGCCAAGTCCACAGGGGCCCTGAGGCCGCAGGAAAAGTGCGTCAGATGACGTCCTGCCTCTGGGGCTCAGGACCGACTGGAGACGACGGGGTTGAGGGGACAGGATGCTACAGACTCAGCGGGAGCGTTTGAATCACCTGGGGGTGTGTCAGCGCAGCGCTATGGAAACCAGCATAGGAACTGTGCAGGTATGGGTGAGGCTGACGTTCCAGACATGACCTTGATTTCTCTTCCTCGATATATAAACACGTAGATATAGATACAGGCATAGGTATAGATAGATATAGATAAGCAATGGGTATTACTCAGTCATCACAGAGAATGAAATCTCGCCTGATGCGGATGGAGCTAGAAAGTTTCATGCTGAACAAATTAAGTCAAAGACAAAGACCGTGTGATTTCATTCACATGCGGAATTTAAGAAACAAACAAGAAAAGGAAAAAGAAAGAGCGAGAGACAAGCCGAGAAACAGACTCCTGAGTTCCGGGAACGCTGATGTCACCAGGGGGGAGGGGTGCGGGGAGGGGGGAACCGGTCGATGGGGAATAAGGGGCGCTTTTGTGATGAGCACCTGGTGATTAAAATAAAAACTTTAAAAAATGGAAATGAAAGATTTAGCCCTGAAGAAAACATCCTGGAGCAGAGTCCCAGCCATGGTTGCAGGTCGGCTTCACCCCGGAGATTAGGTTAAGCTGGTTTCTATGGCGCAGCCCAGGGAGGGGGCACTGGTGGGCATGGAGGTTGGGATGTCTAAACTGCAGGCTGTTTTCTGAATGGCCCCGTAAGCAAGCACCTTCAACAGCTCCGAGACAGACTGGAGGCAGGGGTGGGCCCACATGTGGAGCCCAGGACCCTGAAACAGCCTTTACGGGGTTCGCCCCCCCATGGATGAAAAAGCAGCCGCAAATCCCCGCAAGGCGCCACCGTTTTTCGGTCAGACGCCGCCACCTGCTGGCCACCAGGAGACTGCGCTCGGCCGCCGGGCTCGCTGGCTCCTCGGAGGTGGGGGCGGCCGGTGCCCATCTCCCGCCCTCTGGGCTCCAGCCCCTCCCCTCCCTCCCGGGCTCCTTCTTCCCCCTCTCTGGGCTCCTGCTCTCCCCTGACCAGCGCCTGCTCCCCGGTGGCCCAGGCTGGTTCCCAGCTTCCTGCTGTCTGTCGCGCTGGTCCCTGGCTTGCTGGCCCCGGTTCGGTGGCTCAAGGGCCGTCCTCGGCCCAGCTTTCCCCAGCTCTGAGCCCTGCATCCTTGCAGGAAGGGACGGCGGAGGGGGAGGCAGGGCTGCACAGACTCAGCTGCTTACAGGGGCTACGTGGCCTCCCTGGGCCTGTCTCCCCATCGGTAAAGCGGGACTGTTTGTAACTGAAGGTTGTTCTGAACAGTGGCTCCTCCCCCTCCAGGCAGCCACTCTGGGTGCAGCCATGGTCCTGTGCGAGGCCGGCCCTTCTGCCGCAGCTGAGCTGGGATAGTCAGATGCCGCAGGGATGGCGCTGGCCGCTCCTGCACCTGGCTGGACTCGCTGGGGCTTGGGAAGGGGGGGCAGCGGGGCAGGTGGGCGCCCACGCGGAGCACCGTCACCTGGGGGCCGGCGGGCAGGCCGGGGCGGGGGGAGAGGAGCTGGCCGCTGCGTGGAGGCCCCACTTCCGCATCTGCAGATGGAGCGGCGTGGAGACAGGCCAAGGAGCGGCCGTGGCTGCTGTGGGCACACTGTGTGGGCCTCCTGGGGGATTCCCAGCCTCAGGGGCGGAAGCCCCCCCCTCCCCCTCCCCGTCAGTGTTGGAAAGGAGCCTGCGCGGTGAGGTCTCTGTCTCCTAGCGCAGGGTCCTCCTCACTGCTACATCAGTCGTGACGTTTCGGCTGTTTCTGGTCAAACACCACTAACGAATAGCATCTTTCACGTGGGAAGCCGCGCCGGCCGTGATGGGGGCGTGGGGGGTTTACACACAGACGTTCTCTGAAAGATGCCGAACGCACGTTTATTTCACATCTCTGAATGTTTTTATTGGTTTTCTTTTACATCTCTGTACCTGTTTTCCGATTGTGCCTCTTTTTCTGTGATATTTCTCCAGTCCGAGAGGCCAAACGAGGTTGCAGCTCTTTGCTGTTTTGTGTGGATGACTCCTCGGCCCACCTCTGGCTCGCCAAGGCGGGGAGGAGGCCGGGTGCTTCCTCCGGGATTTCAAGTGGGACCCTGACCTCAGCCCCCATTGTCTTTCTGGGCCTCTGGTGATGGAGGGAGTGCTGCTTAGCTCAGCTTAGAGTGGCACATGGCTGTGTGCGCCTCTTACCAAGAGTCCCAGGCAGGCAGAGCTTAGTGCTTAGTATACGCCCTCAAAGCCCCAGGGTCTGTGCTGCAGTGCCAAGGGTTTCGATTGGCATCTACCTATCTCTGCCCCGTGTTGCTGCACCCTCCTTGGGGAGAGGAGATAGACTGGCCCTGGTCTGCTTACAAGAAGCTGGGTTTTTTTTTTTAATTTTTTTTTTTTTTTTAATTTAGAAAGAGTAAGCATGAGAGAGGGAGGGGCGGAGAGAGAGGGAGAGAGAGAGAATTTCAAGCAGGCTCTGCACCGTCAGCGCTCGATCCCATGGAGATCCCATGGGGCTCAGTCCCATGAACTGTGAGCTCACGACCTGGGCCAAAACTGAGAGTTGGAAGCTCAACCGACTTGAGCCGCCCAGGCGCCCCCAAGAAGCTGTTTTTGGTCTAGGTGTTGTTAGAAGCTTTGCAGAATTACCACCTTTGATATTTTTACAGCACTGGGAAATTTACAAAGGACCCCCTGACCCCTCAGCAGGCACTGAGCCAGGCGGATGAGAACAGCTTCACTGAGGCATAATTCACATACGACACTGATCACCCACTGAAAGTGCACATTTCAGAGGTTCTCTGTATGTCCGCGGTGTTATGCGTCTCTCATCACAATCTATTTTAAGATACGTTTATCACACCACAAAAGAGATCCTGTATTCACCCACCCACTCCCCGTTCCTCCCCTCCCCCAGCCCCTGGCAACCACCCATCTCCTTTCTGTGTCTATGGATTTGTCTCTTCTGGACATTTCGTGTGACTACAATCATACCTTGTGGGCTTTCCGACTGGCTTCTCTCACTGAGCATGCTGCTCTCAGGCTCTGCCGCATCGTGGGAGAGGAGGTTTTAATGCAGCGTGAACTAGTGGCCTGTGGCCCCTTGATAGGGTACATATAAGCCAGTTCCCGACTGCCTCCTGAAT